TTATTGGCATTAATCAAGCATATCCATAGTTCTACACGCCGGCAGAGCCCTTTTCCCAGTGTCCCAGTTTCCTCTTTCTTAGAAGGCATAATTATACCTGCAGTGCACGCCCTTGGTCCCACTGCTTACAATGTATGGTCATGTTCTGTTTTGGAGGGTCGTGAGTCTGGGGGCTTTGGTACCACCTTTTCTGTATCCCATGGGAAAGGTAAGGAGTGAGGTTGTGCTTTGGTCAGAGACAGGCATTTCTTTGTCTTTCAGTGTTTTTTGTACCTTCCACCCCCAATCTCCCCTCGCCCCGCCCAACTGGTTGCTTGACCTTATCTTGGGAGAGGAGTTGAGGCAGGATGGGGGGAGGGATAGCAGTGAGTTCAATCCTTGGGGATTTAGTTGAGGATTGGTCCTGCTTTGAGCAGGGGGTTGGACTAGATGACCTCCTGAGGTCCCTTCCAACCCTGATATTCTATGATTCTAGGACTGTCCTTCAAGTGTACACCCATATATTACACTCCCACTCTGCCCAGCAACACTTTAGCTCTTATCTCTTATCACCCCATCTGCTTGTGGTGTCTTTGTTCTTCATTCACACATATTAATAAGAATACAAAATTAATATGAAAAAAAATATCAAATTATCCAAACAAGACCCAAACTTCTATCTCAAGCAAATATACAGGCCTGAATACTACATTAACATCACTAACGCTCCTAGCAATCATCACTGAATTTGTTCTGCTGGTCGGGTCATTAGCTTCCCCGGCTCGGGCCATGTACTGGCGGGGAGTGTGACGGGAATGCTGTTGCAGACAGGTAGCCAGCTGCCTCCGCTCCTGTCCCAGAGACAACTTGTTTCTCCATTTGTCTGGTCACAAACTCGAAAGCATCGAGAGGCGAGTATCCATAATTCCTCATGTGGTGTTCAGACGGACATTTCACAATGATAGTAATGACCAGCATATTGCAGGCTTTCAGACAAGACCTTGCTCTATTGAGCACTTTTATAGTACAGTAATATTGCATACCATCAGATGCTACCCTTGCTTTGGGGTTCAGACCCCCCCCCCGTTTTCCCCCTGGGGTTGTCACAGTGCCACGGTGAGTGATGGGCTAGCTGCATCTCTGTCCCCTTCCTCATCTCTTTGAGTTCCTCTCCTCTGAGGTCAGGTCTCGTGCCTTTCTGTCTCCTGGAGTGGAATTCAGCAATTCTTCTTCTCCTAAACCAGGCCCTGGGCTACAGTACCCTCTGTGCTTACCCAGCAGGTCAGGCTGAGTGCGGACACCTTTAGTACTTCCCTTCGGGAGTCTGAGATCAGTGACAAAAGAGTCTTCTTCAAACCAAAGAAGTATTTATTATGCAGTGGGGGAAAAAAAGATTTGAAAATGGTCTTCATGCCTGCCTGGCTGATCATCCCCTGATGGACACCTAGGCAGGTCTAACTTCTTCAGACATCCCATCAGGGTCATTTCTTTGTCTCTTTCCTGCAAACAATTACCTGAACTGGCTATCCCACCTCTGACGGGATCCCCGGGGTGCAGCGTGGGACCGCTGTACCCCCTTAACTCTCCAACCTGGGCTGTCTCTCGCAATGCTTTGCTAGTGACAAGCAGCAAACCCCTCCAGGCCCTGCTATCACTCAGCACAACAGCATGTGGAGCCCCACACCCAACTAGATTGCATGAATGCTCCCAGAGCCACTCATGAATCACACAGAGAAAGGCACCAGAGCCAAACCCTCCCAGCACTGTACCTCAGGAATATACCCTCCTGTACTGCTCAAGACGAGCAGTGCAAATGTATTAATTGATTCACCACTTCATTTCATAACTGTCAGGGTGGTTAAGCACTGGAATAAATTGCCCAGGGAGGTTGTGGAATCTCCACCAGTGGAGATTTTTAAGAGCCTGTTAGACACACACCTGTCAGGGATGGTCTAGATCAGCGGTTCTCAAACTTTTGTACTGGTGATCCCTTTCGCAAAGCAAGCCTCTGAGTGCGACACCTCCCTCCCCCCGGCTTATAAATGAAAAACACTGTTTTATATATTTAACACCATTATAAATGCTGGAGGCAAAGAGGGGTTTGGGGCGGAGGCTGACAGCTCGCGGCCCCCCATGTAATAACTTTGCAACCCCCAGTTTGAGAACCCTGGTCTAGCTAATACTTAGTTCTGCCATGAGTGCAGGGGACTGGACTAGATGACCTCTCGAGGGCCCTTCCAGTTCTATGATTCTATGCGCTTTCCCTGCTCCCTCCTATTCCTTACTACTCTGAACCCCACCAGCCCATGTGTGACATCTTCTCGGGGTGTCCAGAACTGTAGGTCATTGTCTTCTCCTCCTGCCACAGCGAGAGAGATGTGCTGGAGTTAATCTGTGTATCTGCTCCCAGTCTTTAGCCCCCACAAAGAAACTCCTTAGGGTTCTGCCAGCTCTCACTTTGCCTGGCAGGTTAACCCTTGGTGTACACCTTTCCTCCAACTCCCCTGAAGCACCCCCTGTAGTGTCCAGCTCCTGTCACTGGACACTCACAGAAATTACCAGTCTGGTGCCCCCAAAGGGGCAGCACCTGCAGCTTGGAAGGTTACAACTCTGGAGCGGGTCCTTTATAACAAGGCAGCACTGTAATCTCTTCATGGGGAAAACAGATATAAGTTTATTCACAAAAAACAGACTCGCAGATTCAAATGGGCAGATTCAAATATGCAGTGAGCAAGGGTAATAAGAACTGAAGTAGTTATAAATAAAACAAAAGTATGCAGTAAAACCTCAGAGTTACGAACACCAGAATTACGAACTGACCGGTCAAGCACACACCTCATTTGGAACTGGATGTACGCAATCAAGCAACAGCAGAGACAAAAAACAAAACAAAACGCAAATACAGTACCGTGCTGTGTTAAACGTAAGCTTACTGAAAAAATAAAGTTTTTTATTTAAAACTGAAAGTTTAAAAAAAGATCTGACAAGGTAAGGAAACTGTTTCTGTGCTTGTTTCATTTCAGTTAAGATGGTTAAAAGCAGCATTTTTCTACTGCATAGTAAAGTTTCAAAGCTGTATTCAGTCAATGTTCAATTGTAAACTTTTGAAAGGACAACCAGAATGTTTTGTCCAGAGTTACGAACGTTTCAGAGTTACGAACGACCTCCATTCCCGAGGGGTTTGAAATTCGGAGGTTCTCCTGTATTGTGCTTTCTAGAGACCAAGACTTAAACTTATCAAGATACAGTCCTTGTCCACTGCTTTATCTTGGCCTCAAATGCTGGTTTCCGGTCAAACCAGGATCCAGAATATTCACAGACCATCCACTTCCGCTAAGGGTGTTCTTCGGTGAAATGGATAACAAAGGGGATTCTTTTTCCTGCCTTTTATAGTCCAGTAAACCTCTGAAATGTATCCTTTTGAAGAGGGCTATCAGATAAGACGCCTCTCCCACATCACTTCTTCTCCGGTGTGCTGGTGCCATGCTGCCTTCGCATCCCCATGTTAACTTGTTTCTCCTCTTTACTTAACTTGCACATGTAGGTCCCATTGTATTTAGCTCGCAATGCTGAACTTAAGCCACATCTACACTAAGGGCTGGTCTACACTGGGGGGGGGATCGATTTAAGATACACAACTTCAGCTATGAGAATAGCGTAGCTGAAGTTGACGTATCTGAGAACGACTTACCTCCTGTCCTCACGGCGCGGGATCGATGGCCGCGGCTCCCTGTCGACTCCGCTTCCGCCTCTCGCCCTGGTGGAGGTCTGGAGTCGACAGGGAGCGCGTTCGGGGATTGATTTATCGCATCTAGACAAGACGCGATAAATCAATTGACCGCTACCCGCCGATCCGGCGGGTAGTGTGGACGTACCCGTACAGGCTTCCAGTGGCATAGCTGTACTGCCGCGAGAACGCTTGTGTAGCTGCGTTATGCCAATGGGAGAGAGCTTTCCCGTTGATGTAATAAAACCAGCTCAATGAGCGGCAGTGGCTATGTCGGCAGGAGAGCGTCTCCTGCCAACAAAACTTCTGTTGCTCAGGGTGTGTGGGGTTTTTTTTCACATCCCTGAGCGACCAAAGTTTTGCCAACATAAGTTCTAGAGTAGACATGTAGGACAGAGACACCTTCCCTCCTGTCTGGAAGAAACCTGTTTCTCCCTTTGTTTGGTTAGACATTAAAGCAGAGGTCCCCAAATTGTGGGGCTCAGAGGAATGTTTGGGGGTGGTGGCCTGGGCCAGTCCCCATGGGAGGCAGGGAGGGAGTGCTACCCAGCCCCGCACCTAGCCCTGCACCTGGGCCCCTGTCTGTGGCTCCATTCCTGGCCTGGGGCCAAGGCTTGGAGCGGAACAGAGTCATACCCAGCCATAAGCCCGGCTGCCAGCCCCCGCCATGGCTCTGCTGCCACCCCCAGCCTCCGCCCCTGGTCACAGCTCCAGCCTTGGCCTCAGACCCACCCCCAGCCTTGGCCCCCTGTCCACATTCCCACCCACCTGCTCCCGGCCTGGGGTGCGGGGGCAGACAGGGGAAAGGGGGAGTGACCCTCAAAAGTTTGGGGACCACTGCTTTAAAGCATAATATCACTAGGTACACATTATTCCTCATATAGCATCAGTGCACACATTTCACAATTATCTGAATCGTAGGACTGGAAGGGACCTCGAGAGGTCATCTAGTCCAGTCCCCTCCACTCATGGCAGGACCAAGTATTATCTAACCCATCCCTGACAGGTGTTTGTCCTGCCTGCTCTTAAAAATCTCCAATGATGGAGATTCCACACCCTCCCTAGGCAATTTATTCCAGTGCTTAACAGGAAGTTTTTCCTAATGTCCAACCTAAACCTCCCTTGCTGCAGTTTAAGCCCATTGCTTCTTGTCCTATCCTCAGTGGTTAAGAACAATTTTTCTCCCTCCTCCTTGTAACAACTTTTTATATACTTGAAAACTGTTTTCATGTCCCCTCTTGATCTTCTCTTTTCCAGACTAAACAAACCCAATTTTTTCAATCTTCCCTCATCGGTCATGTTTTCTAGACCTTTCATCATTTTTGTTGCTCTTTGCCGGCTTTCATTTGATGCCTTACGAGAAACTTTTTGAATAAATTCTATTAAACCAGAGTGGGTTTGTCAGACCTTCTGGATGTTCCTGACACAGAGGAGTGAGCCACAATTGGGCCTCCGTGTCACAGCTTGTTCGCCCATTCCATCTTCCCTATGACTCTCTCTGGATGTCTGTCAGTGAGCTCCCCTCTGAGTCTTCCCTTTCCGGGACATGGAGTTGCCTTCTCTGTGTTTTCAGGATCCTTTCATGATGAGTGTCTGGCTGTGTGTTCCCAGCAGATATGGGGATAGTTAAACCCCTCCTAAGCACCTTTGAGCGTTTGGGGAGCTGCGTTACAATAGGCTGTTAAAATAATACAACTTTTTTTTCGGAATGAATGAAATTAATTCACCTGATCTCGCTTCTTTTCCTTCCCCTGAGCAGGGTTTCCTGTGTTCAAATCCGATGTTATCTCCCAGGTGAAACAAACGGAAGAGCCAGGGGCCCCAGCTCTCCAGGGCTTAGAGGAAAGAGAGATTCTGATGGCCACCTGTTCAGGTGAGGAATAATGAAATCCACTCAAAAGCTGTCAGCGCCTGAAGGAAAGAGCTGGGATTCCCTACAAAGGCCTTGTGAGTGCTCCGAGTTCAGGATTGTCCCCAGCAGGTGCCAGATCCTCAGGGCAGCTATCGCTCATGGCTTCCTACCCATCCTGACTCTCACCTGGCAGTAGCTCCCTCCCTGGTCTCCTCTCCCCTGAATGTTTGGATGGGATGGAGGCAGACTTCATCCCCTTCTCTTTCTCCTATGGGGAAGAGTTTGGGGAAATTCAGTTCCTGGTTATTTTTTTTTTCTGTCTCTCCAGCTTATTTTGCTTAGCTCTCTCCTTTTCCATCCCTGTTTCTGTGCCCTGGTCTACACAACAGAGTTAGGTTGGTGTAAGCTGCCTCATGTCAACCTAACTCTGAAAGTGTCTGTGCTAAAATGCAGCTCTCACCCCACTGAGCCAATTTAAATGACTTAAATAATCCCAACTGTACATATAAAATGATGGCATCTAAATTAGCTGTTACCACTCAAGAGAGATCTTGGAGTCATAGTGGATAGTTCTCTGAAAACATCCACTCAATGTGCAGCGGCGTCAAAAAAGCGAACAGAATGTTCGGCATCATTAAGAAAGGGATAGCTAATAAGACAGAAAATATCCTATTGCCTCTATATAAATCCATGGTACATCCACATCTTGAACACTGCGTGCAGAAGTAGTCGCTCCATCTCAAAAAAGATATGTTGGATTGAAAAAGGTACAGAAAAGGGCAACAAAAATGATGATGGATATGGAACGGCTTCCGTATGAGGAGAGCTTAAAAAGACTGGAACTTTTCAGCTTGGAAAAGAGATGACTAAGGGGGGATATGAGAGAGGCCTATAAAATCATGACTGGTGTGGAGAAAGTAGATAAGAAATGTTCTTTATTCCTTCTCATAACACAAGACCTAGGGGTCACCAAATGAAATTAATGGGCAGCAGGTTTAAAACAAACAAAGGAAGTATTTCTTCACGCAACGCACAGTCAACCTGGGGAACTCTTTGCCAAAGCATGTTGAGGAGGCCAAGACTATAACAGGGTTCAAAAAAGAACTAGATAAACTCATGGAGGATAGGTCCATCAATGGCTATTAGTCAGGATGGTCAGGAATGGTGACCCTAGCCTCTGTTTGCCAAAAGCTGGGAATGGGCAACAGGGGATGGATCACTTGATGTTTACCTGTTCTGTCCATTCCCTCTGGGGCACCTGGCATTGGCCACTGTCGGAAGACAGGATACTGGGCTAGATGGACCTTTGGTCTGACCCAGTGTGGCCTTTCTTATGTTGTAATAATTCCCCCTTCGCGAGAGGCGTGGTGCTTAAGTCAATGTAATTATGTCGATGCAGTGCCAGTGTAGACACTGCATTGCTTGCATCGACTGTTGCTTCCTTTTAGAAGCCATCCCACAATGCCCCACGCTGGCTGTTAAGTCAGTGCAAGCGCTCCTGGTGAGGACGCGCACTGCCGACGCAAGGAGTGTAGCGTGGACATGCAAAAGCAATTTAATTACTGCGGTGGGTGTACGTTGACAGAACTTAGGTTGACTTAATTTTGTAGTGTAGACTCGTCTTGAGGTTTCTTTCTCTATCCCAGCAGGTGGTGGGATGCTGAGTGAGAATATGGAGCAGAATCCTCACCAGGAACATGCTGAGCAAGTGGAACCACATGGGGGATTACTACAAGGCTCCCAAGGGAATGTATCCAGGCATCATGTGCAGGGAAAAGCCTGTGAGAGTCGGCATAGGCCAGAGAGACAGCAGGAAAGCCAACCAGGGGAGAAAGTGGGTAAATCCCCTAATTGTCGGGAAACTCACAACAACTTCAAGGAAAGCACAGCCCAGCAGAGAATCCCAACGGGAGAGAGACCCTATAAATGCACTGAGTGCGGAAAGACCTTCAGTTTGAGTTCAAACCTTATTAAACATCAGAGGATCCATACAGGAGAGCGCCCCTATGAATGCGGAGAGTGCGGGAAAACCTTCACTCACAGCTCACACCTAACTAGACATCAGAGAATGCACACTGGAGAAAGACCCTATGAATGCTGTGAGTGCGGGAAGACCTTCCGGTACCGCTCAGACCTTATCACGCATCAGAGAATCCACACGGGGGAGAGACCCTATGAGTGCTGTGAGTGCGGGAAAAACTTCAGTCAGAGCTCGAACCTTATTAAACATCAGAGGATCCACACTGGAGAGAGACCCTATGAGTGCTGTGAGTGCAGGAAGACCTTCACGCGGAGATCAAACCTTAATGCACATCAGAGAATCCACAAAGATGCAAGACCCTATGAATGCTTTATATGGGAAAACCTCCACACTGAGCTCACACCTTATTACACATGAGAGAAACACCTTAAAAACCTTTTCAAAGCCTGACAAAAGTTGTTGGGGTTTTTTTTGTTTGTTTGTTTGTTGTTTTGTTTTTGCATTAATGCTTTTGTTAATTCCCACCTAATGATCTTTAAGGATATTGGCAGAATTATCTTTACTGTGGTCTCTCACCTCCCCAGGTGAGTTGTCCACTTTTCTGTTTTGCTGCTCGCCCTTCCTTGGGATGAACACCGTGGTCCTCTCTATCAACTCCTATGAGTCATGGGAGAGCGTGTCTCTCTTGCCGGGAATGCCCATCAGCCAAGGTGAGGGAGATAAAGATGACCTTGATTAGCTACATTGAAGCACAATCTATGTGGGCCTCATCTCCACTAGGTTTTTCCCATGCAGTTAGCTAGCTCATGTTAGCTATCCCAATGGAAAAAGACAGCTACGCTTTCAGGAGTGGGTGTGGTTAGCTAGCCTATTTCCTCATGAGTTGACCTCATCTTTTATTGCTTTTCATAGTCTAAAAAAGCCCAGAGCATCACATTTATATTGTTCCTCCCTTTGCAAAGCAGTTGTGAGAGTCATCAAGTTCCGCTTTGAGGATAAATTGTCTCATTCTCTTTTGTTCTCACATTGCCCTAGGATGTGCTGAAGAGCAGTTATATCCTTTTTTTTTTTTTTTTTTTTTTTACCATTTTTCTCATTTAAAATGTATTTCAATATAATAAAAAGCAGGAGGCCAGGTGGGAAAAAAGTGTTTTTCTGCCACTGTGATGCCTGAAGAAGATGGGGAGAGTCAGAGAGATTCCCTCCTTCCCCATCACCCCAGCAGCATTACTCTCCGCACGGCTAAGATAGAAGGTCTCGTCTTCACATTCTACCCCTCCACATCCTAGAGAGTCGTGATGCGGCGGCCTCAGTTTTCTGTGCTTCAGAATGGTGCTTTGATTTCTTTGATCCTAAATCAGACTCATTAGGGCTGGAGACGAAAGTGTCATGGGACTGGAAGGGGAATTCAATGGATCCCAAACACTGTGATCATACTGAGTTTCAGTCCCAGTTTTCATCTATTGGCAAAGCCACTTTTGGTCTTTTTCCTACTGAGTTGGGATTGTTCACAGATGGGAAAGTTGGCTGGTTTTGCGCCCCTTCCCCCCCCCCTTTTGATGATGCTAAAGCTTTTGTAAATAACACAACTCACTAATGAGACAGTGGTGAATGAAGGAGGTTTGAATGACTATGCGAATATGATGGGAGAATCAGTGGTCCTGCCTCTGAGTTATCAGATGTAACCTGCTGTGGAATTTCATGTTACATGACCCTGAATGTGTCTCATGACCTCTCTGTGAGGTGGGTTTTTCTCTCATGTCTGGAGGCCCTTTGGTCACACAACTGGATATTAGTTTAGTTTGACAGGACATAGCTCAGATTTATTGGGGACTTTGAGATAAATGACCATTTGCTAAAATAGCCATTTCCTAGTATATTTTTGCTTTCCTCCCACCTCTCCATTATGACACAGAGGAAATTCAAGTTCAATTCAGTCAACAGGAGAGAATACTCCAAGCTATTTGGCATGCTAACAGAGCAATAGGATGTTTTTTAAGTCTCCAGTCTGAAATGGTGAGCAACAGCAGACCCCAAACTGTGCAACTAACTGAAGTAACTGCCTACGATCACAGTGCCATTCAGTTCTTTAGATTAATATTATCTCAGATGATCCAGGGAGACAATTTCATAGTATGTGACTTTCAACTGGGCAAAAATGCCCATGTATTCCCCCCCCTCCACCCCCCAAGCATGTGTGACCCAGGCCCGACAGGAGGTTACTCCTGAAGATATCTCCTGTGATTTGGGAAATACTGTCCCTAACTATGCAGATGTGGAGAAATAGACGTGGTGTTTTTGTTTAACTTGCCCCTTGTATGTGCTGTAAATGTGTATAAAACGAATTAAGTGTTTGAATGTGATGTAGCTGCAGGAAAAACAACTGTTTTCAAATAGAAATCCCACCTCTATCTTACAGAAATTCAGATCCAGGTTTGTATCCAGTCCCTAATTTAGACCCGTGCCACCAGATTAAAGAAAGAAATTGAGCATGCAGGGGAGAAGCCATTCCTCACTAACACTCTTGAGATTTGGGGTGTAAATTAACCTTGACCAAGACCAAGGATTTGGCAAGAGCTCAGGTAGAAATAGCAGGCAGCCAGTTGTTGGCTTGCATCACAAAGTAAGCAAGCTATGGTGAACAGTGCACAAGTCAAATTGTTTTGGAACACCATTTCCTAGTTCAGTGTCACTGATTAGTGCCAAAGGATGCCAGGGTTAGATCGTGAACAATTGTCCTTTTCCATTTGGATCCAACGTTTCATGAGGTAACAAGAGAAACAGCTGATGTCTTCAGAGGACATTCTTTCCTCAAGGATCCAAAGGATTCTTTCCTTTTGTGCAAGTGATGGCTACAGTGAGGGAATGAATGTGTCCAATTCCGAGTTGAGACTTCAGGATCCACAAATGTTGAGTCCTGATGCTATTCTTTTGTCTCATAGTTTTGTTCTTGTGTCTCAAGCATTGGTATCACTTCTCTTCCACTCCTGCTACTTTGAAAGATTAGAAAGTGTGGAAATAGCATACAGGTGTTGTTTGCTCGTGATGTAAATCTTGCTACATAGTGCGAGGCTCTTTTCTCCAAAACTTATGACAGAAGTCCCAAAGTTAAATGAACTTGTAGATGTGGAAGAACCTATGTTGGGGTAAACAACAAATTAACACAAAAGTTCACTTGGTGGAAGTGGGAATTAAAAGAAAACTGACGTATGATAAGATTCATAAGCAGCGAAAATGAAATTAAACACAAAGATGGTGGTTAAAGAGTAAGAGACTAATTATGTGATCATTGGAAAACTGAGAGTTGTGTATATATATTTTTTGTTTTGTTAGTAATAAAGTAAATGATGGATAATCCTGAAAAGTTTATGCGATGTAATTTACCCCCTTCAGACTAAAGAGTTCTGAAGTAAAAAGTCACTCCAAGTATTGGGGTGGTGGAATATGTAAGAAAAATACCGTATATGAGAATACAGACCCAGTATAGATGTCAATTATTTCTATTTTGAATGGAATTTATTTTGATACACATCAAAGCAAATTTCTGTTAACTTGTCTTTAGGTAGTTTTTTCTCTTATGTAACCTTTTACCCAGTTAGACTGCAAGAGTCATGGAGTATCCCTCTTCTCTTATTTGCAAAGGATGTGACATCTGTCATGAGATGTCCACATTTATTTGTAAGAGTAGTGATGCAGTGGGTAGTTTTTCTGCTAAAACCTTTGCAGCTAGTTATTTTAACGGGTGCTGAGCCCCCTTTTCCTTTTGTTTTTCTTTCACATTTGATACCTTTGGGGTTCACACATTCCCACAACATTTGGTTTGTAACAATAGATATTACAAGAAAACTGCTTGGTTAAGGGAGACTTTTCCTAGTTGACATTAGCCCAAAGTCTGTCTCATGCTAACTGGGTCAGGCCATGTTGTCTGTAGCCAAGGCATATTTCACCCCCGATTTTCAGCCAGCTCCTTGGATTCGAGTTTTAGCATTTATAAGAGTTGATTATCTGCTGTATTAATCTGATGATTTGGCTCAATTGATGACTTGAGTCCAATGCAGTAGCATTAGCTCTTTGATTTTTGTGATTTGATCTTAACTATATTGTTTAATACAGTTTAGTATTTTTATAGTAATATATAATAGTTTAGCCTTAGTGCTAAGTGTTCTCAGTTTTATTTGTTGTTCATCTGCCCTGTATATTCCTCCTTGAGTGTCGACTTTGGTTAATAGTAATCAATTCCTAGGGAGGTTGTGGAATCTCCATCTCTGGAGATATTTAAGAGTAGGTTAGATAAATGTCTATCAGGGATGGTCTAGACAGTATTTGGTCCTGCCATGCGGGCAGGGGACTGGACTCGATGACCTCTCGAGGTCCCTTCCAGTCCTAGAATCTATGAATCTATGAATTCCCTCCTTTGAATTTGTATAGGGATATGAGGCAGGTATGATCATGGCAGGCCAGGGGCCAGCTTATGGTAAGTCCCCCATGTCTGAACTGGACACTAAGAGATACTGGAATCTGTCTTGTGGGATACTTTTGATAAAATAGGTATTAGAATGCTAAGAAAGTGTGTAATGTGTAGACTCTGTTGAGTGCCATGCATTAATCTTAGTTGTTCTATCTGTGTTCCATGTTGTAATATGTTGAGTGTGCATCGTGTGAGCCTCTGTGACTGTACGAATCGCCATACAGGAGAGGGATATTAATTAGTGTGAAGGGCTGCTCTTCCACAGAAGTTGTTCCCCCTTCCCCAGCCCCCCTATAGCCAGAAGGGCTATGGTTGGATCTTACAACTGGAAACTCTACATCTGAATTGAGAAGCCATCAACGAAAGGACAAAAGACTTGTTGTTCCACTCTCATCCCCATGAAGATGAGTTCTGCGCATGGACTTATCCCATCAGCTGAGTTCAAAGCTCAGAACACATGGCAGGAGGGGGATAAATACCCCAAACAAAAGGAACTATGGATCTCGATGATGTTTGGATTCTTGGGGGGAGCAAGGTGTTTCTAGACATAAGTAAGAGATCCCCAGTTGCTTAGTCTGGGTTAGTCCTAAAGGAGAAATATGGCAGAAACCGAAGACTGTGTAACTCATTCGTGCATCTGTGTTTGCTTGCTTTAACCTTGTAAGTAACTCTCTGACTTCTTTTTCCTAGTTAATAAACCTTCATATAGTTTACTATAGGATTAGCTACAAGAGTTGACTTTGGTATAAGACCTAAAGTGTAATTGACCTGGGATAAGAGACTGGTCGTTTAGGATCAGGGCTAATCTGAATAGTGCTGTGATTCTTGGTGTAAGAGACCACTCAGAGGAGATGCGGGGGAGGGGAGGGGGAGCGAGCATGTGGGGTCATGTGCCCCCTCCCCAGATTTGCTGCTTAGCTTGTACAGAGGATGCTCTCACAGACTGAGCATGCTCAGTAGCACTGCTGAAGCTGCCTGCCCTAATTCTGACCCCCACTATTAGCAGGCACGGGTCATCTCTGGGGCCAT